TCACAGTAAAGAGGGTCTACCACCCTTGCAGAGGACTGGAGTATGGCTCCCAGCACCAACCTCAGGTGGGTCACAACCACCCTTAACTCCACCTCCAGAGAATCTGAGAGTTGAGAAGGCTTCTGCTTCACATGATATATATATATCCATACAGGCACACGAATATACACATAATTTAAAATAATAATTATAAATCAGGAAGGCAGATAGTTAAAGCTCTAAGATATTCATGTCTACTATAGCAAACACTACTAGAATACTAAATGTTTACTGATTTTACATTTATTGCATAGCTACAGTGAATTATATATAATTCTATGAATTTTTGTATATATCTGGGAATCAAAGACCCCTGATCTCATGAAGTTTGTTTTTTTTTTTTTGTTTTTGTTTTTGTTTTTTTTGAGACAGGGTTTCTCTGTGAAGCTTTGTACCTTTTCTGGCACTTGCTTTGTAGACCAGGCTGGCGTCAAACTCACAGAGATCCACCTGGCTCTGCCTCCCAAGTGCTGGGATTGAAAACATGTGCCACCACTGCCTGACATGAAGCTTGTATTTATGTTGAAAAGTAATATGTTAAGAAATACATTAAAAATTTATTCAGCAGGTAGCTCAGAGTGGTTAAGGAGTTCACACTCAGTCACACAGGAGGAGGGCTGCAGACAGACAGCAGTCTTAACCATCTTCCTCTTGGATGAACAAGTGAACAAAGGGGAAAGACACATACAGCAGACCGCAAGCTGTGGGAGCTTTAGTGTAGGATGCAGGGGGGTGGGGTGGGTGCAATTTGAACTTGGTTTGCCAGGCTACATGGACTTTCTAATGCTTTTCCTGAGAAGGTGGGATGTGAGCAAAGCTGAAGAAGATGAGGCCAACCAGAGAGAGATGTTACAGGAGAAGAAAGAAGGAGGGCAAAGGTCCAGGTGCTGGAGAGTGCCTGTGACAGGGGAGGGTAAAGGGAGGGGCAGCAATGCACAGGATGAAGGGGCAGGCTGGGTATGGGACTCAGGAGACACTTCTTGAGGTCTCTCCTTTCACAAAAACACAGTCTTTGCTGGGGTTTAGTGGTGTCAGGACCTGGTGCCCTCTGGGGACAGCTCTGACTGCTAGGCTGCCAAGCAAGGACACCTTAGGGTCCATGGCAGGAATTCAGTGTGGAAGAGACAACAGAAGGCAACATGATCAATGAAACCAAGACACTCATGTCAGTGTGCCCAGAAGGCAGTGCAAACTGGACTTCTGTAGGCTGGACGTATAAAGAGGATGAGTTCCTCAGGCCTGAGCAGGGCATGAAGGGAGGGTATGTCAGCAGAGAAGGGAGGAGCTGTTCCCACCGAGGGTTTGGGGGGAATATTCTGGGTTTTGGTAATGTTCAATGTTAAATATTTGGGGCCACATTGAAGGGTTCACAACACGGCCCCACAGTCACATATACCAAGCAGACACTTCCGCCTAGCCAATTCCATGTCAAGATAGCCATTTCCGTTTCAAGGCGTCTTGCGTGACCAGGATCCGTGATGTTACATGGCCACGTAAGCACGCAACGTGACCATGTGATCTACGCACACAGGTGGAGTAGTGACGTGACATGGCCACGCCCCCAGCCGGTTTTTAAAGCGGAGCGCCATATTCCCGGCTCTCTCTCTCTCCCCTCTCTCCTCTCCCTCTTCTCCACGCATGTATCTCTCCCACAGGCCTGAGCACTCTCTGTCCCTTTATCTCTAATAAACTCTTATAAGCGGATTCTGTCGTGTTTCGTGATACTTCCTTGCAGGGTAAGAAAACAACGCAGCTAAATAACTAACACACATAGAGGAGGAAGGTCTGGGATAAACATACACTTTGGAGTAACTGGCTTAGAAATGGTGTTTGATAGGCAGAAGCCTGAACAAGGTAGGTATTCTGGGGAATGCCTGTGCTGATGGGGAATGTCTTTACTGAGGCTGTTCAGATTTTTTGGGTGCTGAGGCAAGGCCGTGGGCATGGGCTTCCTTCAAAGGGGCAACCGAGAAGACATGTCCACAGGCAGAATCAACTCAAAGAGCAAGAGCATAAAGACATGGAGGACACCGGGCAGTGGTGGCACACGTCTTTAATACCAGCACTCAGGAAGCAGAGACAGGTGGATGTTTTTGAGTTTGAGGCCAGCCTAGTCTACACAGCCAGATCCAGGAAAGGCACAAAGCTACACAGAGAAACCCTGTCATGGAAAAAAACAAACAAAAAACAACAACAAAAAAAAAAAAAAAAAAAAAACAAAGACAAGGAGGGCCTGAAAGTCAAGGTCAAACAGTGGCAAAGGCACCATCAATGATCCCAGGTCAGAGCTGCAAAGGTCAGGGTGAGGTTGGTCCAGAGGACCTTGCACCTAGAGGGCCGGTGACCTTCCCATGTTGGAGACATCAGTGAAAATGGATGCAAGAAAACAGAAAACAAGGCAATAACAGGAAACCCAGAACTGAGGGTCTGTGGACTGAAGCTCTCTCCTCTCCACACAGCAGATGTCTAAGCAGCTGGACATGAGCTCAAGATCCCTAAGACTGTGACCTTGACTGAGTAGAAGAGCATCCTACTGGGGGAGGGATAGAATGCTGAAGGTCAGAGCCAAAGTTATCTCAAGGTATCTTAGATCTTTGAATAGCCATTAGCTACTAAGCTGACCTTCTAGCAATCTAGCTTTAGATAAAACTTGAAATGCAGGCTGGGTTGATTTCAGCTGGCTCCACCCACTCTGAGGCTGAGAAGGCACTAAATGCAGCATCTTCTAACCAGAAATCTCTGTGCCTTGCTGTAGTCCTGACCTTTTGACCCACATGTGTGGTTAGTTAGTTTCTTATTTATTTACTTATTTTTGTATTCACTAAATACAAAATGTGGTACACATACACAATGGAGTACTACTCAGCAGAGAAAAACAATGACAGCATAAAATTTGCAAGCCAAGAAATGGAACTAGAAAATATCACCCTGAGTGAGGTAACCTAGACCCAGAAGGACAAACATGGTATATACTAACTGTTGGTTAAGCAGCGGTGCTCGGGGCCATGCTGACGAAAGAGATCGCTGGATGTATTGGTGACAGAAGAATCATGAGCCATGGTTACCTTTCTAGAGCTTTATTTGGAGAGAGAAGGAGAGAGAGAGAGAGAGAGAGAGAGAGAGAGAGAGAGAGAGAAACCACACAGAGAGAGAATACAGGAGAGTGCAGGATAGAGCACAGAGGGCACACCTGATTTTTAGGCTGGGACACCATCACAGGCTAGTGACGTAATTAAGGACATAATTCTTTAATTCTTACATTCTAGACTTTCGTTTATTGTTAAAAAAACAGGTAGATGGGAATAAGGGCATCGTTTCTCTCAAAAGCTGCTTCCACCTGATTACTGGATGTTGCCTGGCTCTTGGGAGAATGGGGAAGGGGAGTCTTCCGTGGTAAATGTAGTCATGGGTCCTGCTGTAGTTGTGAGTCTTAATGTAGTTGGGTGTCTTCCTGCACTTGTGGGTCTACTGCAGTTGTAGGCCTTCCTGAAGTTGTAGGTCTACCTGAAGTTGTGGGTCTTCCTGAAGTAGTGGGTCTTGCTGTAGTTGTGGGTATTCCCGAACTTGTGGGTCTTGCTGTAGTTGTGAGCCTTCCTGAAGTTGTATGTCTACCTGAAGTTGTGGGTCTTCCTGAAGTAGTGTGTCTTCCTGCAGTTGTGGGTATTCCTGAACTTGTGGGTCTTGCTGTAGTTGTGGGTCTTCCTGAAGTTGTGGGTCTACCTGAAGTTGTGGGTCTTCCTGTAGTTCTGTATCCTCCTGCAGTTGTGGGACTTCTTAGAAGACTTGTGGAAATTTCTGGATTTGAAAATCAAAATAAATAAGGATCAGTCAAGCAAGAATAGGCAAGTGCTTCTGTTGTAGCACCCATGGGAGGCTGTCCCCAGAGAAACTCTTCCTGAACTTCTATTCTTTGTCATTGACCAACTAGGACTGGGCAGGACCAATAGAAGGCAGCTACACTTACCACATGGAGGTGAGCACAGAGCCCATGTTCCTAAGGACACACTGTATAAGGGATGGGTGTCAGGTCCTCAGATGTCTAAGCATAGCTGTGAGACTGTGAGATTATGAGGGCTGGCACTACTCTCAGTAGTGACTGACTTCACCCACATTTCCAGGCCCAGCATGTTCATTTCAGTCATTCCCCAGAGGACACAACATACAGCCCTGCATCTTAGCTTGCAGATCCCACACAAGCCCCAACTAAATGGGATTTGCACAATTGGGTAGAGAGTGGATATTGTCTATGGTGCCTTCCAATGTAAGACAAACAAGGTGAATACCACTTATCCAAAAATACTTGGCATAGTTTGAGAATTTAAATCCTGCTTAAATATTTGGTATATTTGCATATAGATTATATCTTATGGGTAGGGCTCAAGTATAAACATGGATAGATGTAGCATTCATATAATTACACTTTACATATATAGCTTAAAGGGTAACTTTATAAACTGTGGATAATTCTACATATGATCCTTTCATGATGTTGAGTTTAAGGTGAATTATCAAGTCTACGGTCAAAAGGTTCCAGATTTGGGAGCATTGTAGATTTGGAATGTTTGGATTAGGCAGGTTCAACCTACAATTGACAAGTCAACAGCATCCAAAGCACTGTAAGGATCCAAACAGCTACTGATGGTCTCAGTGTGCAGAGATCTAGACAGGAGCAAAGGCAAAGTGGTGCTGGGATCACACACAGTCAGCCAGGACTCATGCTGTCTGTGTCAACAGACACATGTGTTCCCTGTAAGTAATCTCCTTTGATCTTGACTGTGCTAACTACAAAATAAAACCTCAGCAACAAGGAATAATTGCTTTAAAAACTCTTCTTGACCTTGAATACAGTGTAGTCCCTTAATATAGTGTGTGCTTACCTTGAAATAAAGAAAAAACTGCAGTGTTCTTTCTATGTATAGGAAGTAGTGGGAGTAGAGCACCCCCTTAAATTCACTACATTAACTTATTCATTTATTTGTGTGTTTGTAGGATGTCACAAATGTGGATGCCAGGGGATAACTTTTCAGAGTCTGTTCTCTCCTTCCACCATGTGGGCCCAGGGATTGAACTCAGGTCCTCAGGTTTAGCAGTGGGCACCTTTCCCCACTGAGCCATCTCACTGGCCCTCAAGCCCCTTTTATGGAGAGGGTCAGATGAAAAGATTTTTGTCTCAGGGACATAAAAACAGGTGTTCTGGAACAAGCACTCATGTCAATCAATGAAAGTCAGTGCTGACAACTTAGCAAGGAGTGGGTGTGGCTGTGCTGCAGTAAAACTCTTCCCAGCAGCAGGGGGTCTGTTTCTAACCTGGTCTGGTTAGTTTGCTGATCCAGTCTAATGTGTGGGCAGAGGCCTGAGCACAGTACACCCCCTCCCTGGAGAGCATAAATCTCTGAGGTGGAGAAAAGCAAGCATGTGAACAATCTAGTCAGAAGATCACTGTGAGAACAAAGCCAGGAAAGAATCACCAGCTCAGGAGCTTTGCTTCTCTTGCCCTGGGGCATTTTTTTTTTCTCCCAGGTAGATGGGAAAGTCAAAGGAGCTGATGAGGGTCCCAGAGCAGCTGAAGAGGAAGCTCCACGTGTTTAAACCATGAGAAGATGTGGACTTGGTTGTTAAAGGAGGAAACAGTTGCTGGCTCAGTTAGGGACTACAGTGACGCAGGGTGACTTTGTAAGCACTCACCTGCTAACGAATCTCTAAGCTCCATAAAACCTTCAATTAATGAACTTAAATTAGTAATGCTATGCTGTAATGGCATGCCTATCCCACTTCTGGTGTTGGGGCTCTAACCCCAGAGTTTAAGTGGGAATGTTTACTGGACAACTGCCTTCCTAAGCTACAACCAGAGGCCTTACTAGGTGTTTGCAGTTCTGGGACAAAACCCAAGGTTTCAAGCATGCTAGACACATTTCTACACAAACTCCAAGGCAGTTTACATTTTTAAGGGATTTATCTCTGTGTGTGTGTGTGTGTGTGTGTGTGTGTGTGTGTGTGTGTGTGTGTGTATGCCTGTGTGAATGTGGGTTTATTCTCATGTGAGTGGGCACCCTTGGATGTCAGAATCATTCAACTTCAGCCAAGTTAGTAACATAATTTCACACCTGCGATAAGCACCAGGAACCTTATGTCTCCTCCCCAAAGCTGTCTTTATACATCATTCTTTCATAATCTATGAATGGCTTCTTCAGGATTCCTTGATTTGCCTCCCAGCCATAGTTTTGAAAGGCAGCTCCTTGCCCCATCAGAATGGACTTCACCCTAACAAGAAATGTGGCGCATTTCTATAATACCATCACTGGGGAGGCTAAGGTGTGAGCAAGAATTTCCAGGTCAGCCTGATTTACAAAGCAAGGCTGTAAGGATTTGATCCTTAATTACATCATCAGCCTTCTCAGGCTTCCCAGCCTAGAAAGAGGGTGAGCCCTCTGTGGGCTCTCTCTGTCCCCTCTCCACTCCAACTTCCTGTCAGCTCCCCTCTCCCCCTCCACCCCTTTTGTGTATCTCTGTTTCTCTGTCTCTCTGTCTCTGTCTCTCTCTGTCTCTCTGTCTCTCTCTCTCTCTCTCTCTCTCTCTCTCTCTCTCTCTCTCCCCTCTCCCCCCCAATAAAGGTAACCATGGCTATGATTCTTTTAATCAGCACGCTGCTCCGACAGCATGGTCACTGCGGGCAGAGACCAGCCACGAGGGGCAGCCCCTCAGCATAACGACCAGCCAGGAGGGGCAATGCCGGGCATAACTAACAAAGGCCCAGTATCAAAATCAAGAAATCAGTCAATCAATAAACAGAGATCCAGAAAATTGATTCAATGGGTAGAGGTCCTTGACTTGCAGACCTGGTCAGCTGACTTACATCCCTAGAACTCACATAAAATCATAAAGAGAGTACCAAGCACAGGAGTTTTCCCTCTGGCAAATTCATCATGATA